TTGGACTGTCTGTTGTTGTTACTCGTTCTCAGGACAGATAACTCCATCAAGAACCACTGGAACTCGACCCTTAAGAGGAAGGTGGAGAACCAGCGACACCTGCAGGTCCTGCACCTCCACAACTCTTCCTCCTCCACACTTGCAGTGACGAACTGCACCCTCCCAAGCTCCACCATCGACCCCACCAAGGTCACCACACACCCTCCACCCCCAACACCCACCCATGACAGATGTGTTGTAATACTCATGTTTGTCCTGCAGGCGGACAGTGTGTCCACGATGACGGTCAAGTCCAGCTGCACCTGCAGTGAACAGAGCACTTGCAGCTGCTACGTCCACCTGTGCTCCGCCTGTGCCCCTCCCTCTTCAGGCTACGACTGTCTGAGCTTGTGTGAGCTGACGACACCCGCGGAGCTGATGGATGCAGTAAAATAGTTCATTTGTTGGGGCTTTTATTTTGGAAGGGAGCTTTCTGTCACCTTCGTGACTGAACCTACATCTCTCAGACTTTTATCTGTACTATTGATTGCTTCATTTCTCTGCAGTTTTTCTACTCAGCGAGGTTCAATCAGTGTTTTTATTTCATAAATGATTTAGTCTAACTTTTATTTCCTGCAGCAGCCTTGTCACCGTTGTTTCATACTTATTTTCTTCCTAAATCGATGGAATCTTATTTTTTAAAAGAACATGGAGGCTTGGAGCCACAGCCCAAAGGATGTAACATCATCACTCCACATCCATCTGCACAAAGAGGATGCCGATCCGTCAATCGTCAATCTGAGCTATGTAAGACTGAACCCAGTTAAACCTGAGTTAAAGGAAAATTCCACAGTTTTTATCCTGATCAGAGTCTGGATCAATCTGTGACCTCTAACCGTGGGTCGTGTGCAATAACAGTTTGTTTGTGTGCAGGAGGCAGGTTTTAAGGAGCAGCTGATGAACAGTGAGGACGCTCCGTCCTCCTGCAGCCTGGTGGGGGCACTGAACTTCTCACCCTCTGAAGTAAAGACCTCACATTTGTTCGACTTTTGTCTGATGTTTCTCTGATGTTTCTCTGATGTTTCTCCGACATTTCTCTGACGTTTTTCTGACGTTTCAGTTCCTTGGTTTTTTAACTGTTGAGGATCCGAAGTTGCAATGTCCAACCTACACCTCCACTCCTGTCTGTTCCCTCAAACACTCAACCAGCAGTTACTATGAAAACTCTTGTCTCCACGGTAACACAGTGTACGTATGTTATCAGTGATGATGGATGGATCAACTAAGCAGATAAATTAAAGATAAATTAAAGACATTTGATGTTTATTGGTTCAGGACACCGTCAGACATCACAGAGACAATCAGAGATCTGTGGACGTCAGCTCCTCAGACACCAACACCACTGAAGATCAGCAACAGTCAGGACGAGGTGAGTCAGCTGATCTTCAACTGATCAGCAGGTTTAAACAATTAACAGATTTAAAAGAGTGTAAAAGCTGACGTTTCCATGATGTCAGGGAAGTGGACAGTGTTTTTGTGTTGTTTAGGTCGTTTCAGTTTGTCTGAGCAGGACCATGAAGGCAGAGGGGGACGTGAGGAGTGTTAACCCCAACAGTCAGCTGTCAGCCAGCAGCTCGGAGGTCTCACATACACACACACCCACACACACGTACACACACATTGAACATCACAACATGAGAACAGGGTTAACAACACCCCCTGGTGACATGTTGGACTTCAACAGGAGGCGTCTGTCCTCCAGGTTCAGGGGGAGAGTCTGCTGAGCTCCATCCTGCAGGTCCAATCCGGGTCACAGGGGCAGGGACAGTCCAGCTCGGTGTCATTTGACGGACAGTTAGAAGTGTTGTGGTGCGAGCAGCCTGTTGATGAGCTGCAGGCTCCAGAGGATCCTGCCCCCGCGCTGACTCCCCTCCAGGTAAAAACCAATCATCAACACGCCATCAATTTTCTCATCAGTGGTCAGACCTCTTTTCTCTGTCTTGTGTCGTCTTGTGTCGTCTTGTGTCGTCTTGTGTCGTCTTGTGTCGTCTTGTGTCTCATTGCCTCATCAGCTCAGTGACCTTCAGGTGGTGATCTTTGGGAGAACAGACGATCAGGTGAGTCTTACGGAGCAGGCCCGGCTGTATGTGGAGCTCTGATCTTCATCGTTTTACTTCATCACTGAGAG